CTTCTCCTGGACGCGGAGCCCCCTGGGGGCTGCTCCCTTGGCTGCTACCCACGCCCTGGCAGCCGCTCCTCTCAGGGGAGCCAGGGACGGGCCGCTTCACCGCGCTCGCTCACCCAGGCTGCCCCCGGACACCACGCCTCCTGCCTGTCCCCGGCTTTCATTCAGTGCGGCCCAACCCCCTCCTCGACAGCAGCCGTTACAGACGGCGCTCCCCCCGAGAGGGCCGGGCCGGGCCCTCCGAGGGCCCCCTCAGCCGTGGGCCCCGATGTCGGACCTCGTGAATGGAGCCAACAGCACATACGGTGACAGGCGAGACGGACCGGCAGGGCAGTGTCCCCCCTGACAAGTGTTTTCGTCTGCCCTCCTGTGTGCAGGCCTGTGTCCCAGCTTCCTGGGAACCTGCCAGTCCACAGGCCATTTGAATGTCACATAAACCCTAGGAGAGCTGCCCTGGCGGGTGTGGCTCCGTGGACTGAGCGCCAGCCTGCGAACCAAAGGGTCAGTGGTTCAATTCCCAGTCAGGGCACAGGCCTGGGTAGCGGGCCAGGTCCCCAGTAGGGGGCGCTCGAGGGGCAACCACACATGGATGTTTCTCTCCCTCTCTTCCTCCCTCCCTTCCCCTCTCAATAAATAAGTCTTTGAAAAAAAAACCAACCAACCCACCAACCCTAGGAGAACTGTGGCCAGGCAGGGGCGACGGTCCCCATTTCACCAGTGCGACACTCAGGGCTCAGAGAGGGTGAGTGATGTGGGCGAGGTCACAGAGCTGGTAGCAGGACTGGGGCTGGAATACCCTCCTCTTGATGACAGGCGCCGTGGGCATCGGTCCCCACGGGCTGGAGCCACAGGCCGGGGCGTGGCCGGCCCGGCGTCAGCACAGCTCCATCTGGGGGCCTGGGGGCCAGGGCGTCCCTGACGGAGGCCCACACACTCACTGACGGCAGCGGAGCTGTTTGCCCACAGCTCTGGAGGCTGCAGTCTGACATCAAGGCGTCCATGGCCGACTCTGTCCCTGGCCTCTTCCTGCTCCTGGGGTGGCCAGCGCGCCCCGCGCTCCTCGGCTGCTGGTGTGACGGTTTGGGGGACGGGGGATTGTGACCCGCCCACTGCTCTTCCCGCACTGCGGTGCGTGCGGACTCTGACTGCTATGTGGCCTGTAGGCAAAGAGTGCGTGTGTGTGCGAGTCCTAGAACAAACTGCAGAGGGACGTCAGCTCTGACCTTCGAGCATCTCGGCTCCGGGAGATTCACTGACCTTCGTCCATGGAGCCGGGATGACGCGAAGCCAGGGGACTGAGCCCGGATGACGCACACCGGACAGTCACTCGCCTCATCGGAATGGATGGTGCTCGTCTGGCCGTGGGGAGCTTTTCAACCCCTCCCTTGGTCTCTTCGTTCTGTTCCCTCCTCCCTCCTCATAAACACCTCTGCCTGCACGGAGAGGGGGAGAGGGGCTTTGAGACGTGAGCCCCCACCCTCCTGAGAGAGGGGCTTTGAGACGTGAGCCCCCATCTTCCAAGTGGCCAGCACCTGAAAATAAACCACTTTCCTTTCCATCAGTACCTGCCTCTCGAGTGTTGGCTTTCGGAGCAGCGGGCAGCCGGACCTGCTCTCGATGACAGTGGGCACATCACGCCAGTCTTTGCCTTTGTTGTCACATGACCGTCTGCCCGTGTGTTTGTGTCCCTGTGTCTTCACATGGCCTTCTTCTCAGGACACCTGTCATTGGTGTAGGGCCCACTGTTGTCCAGTATGACCGCATCCTAGCTCAGTCACCTGCCAAGGTCCTATTTCCAGATAGGTCCGAGTCGTGGGTAGCAGGGGTTGGGACTCCGACCTATAATTTGGGGGGCACAATTCAACCCACAGCGCCATCTTTGACTTTCCTTCTCTGGCTGTGGCTCCTGCTGCGGGCCTGCCATGGGCCTGGCCGCTTGGGACAGCCCTACCGACTTCTTCCTGAGCCCACAGGGAGGCCTCTGACTCCCTCCCCAGGCGTCCTCACTGGTGGGGCCCCCGTGCCTGGTCCTGGGCGCTTGGCGGGTGCCCCCATCCGGGGTCCAGCCTGCCTCGCCAGCTCTGCCTCGCCATTCGGGGGGCCCGCCAGAGCTGCAGCAGAGCAGAGGGGCCTCACCAGGCAAGGACAGCACGGGGTTTCGTGGGACTTCTCCCTGGAGGACACTGGCTGTCACCATCCCGCAGCCCAGGCCTGAGGAAGCCGCGCCCTGGCCTGCGGTCCAGTCGTGGCCCCGTGTTTTGCAGGATGGACTGGGGGTGGGGGGCTGGCGGTTAGGATCCCAAAGCTGCATGGGGAGGTGGGGTCGCGGAGTCGTTGCACACGCCTCTGAGCTGCTGCCGCAAGTTCCGCAGAGGCCGAGAGGGGAGATGAGAAGGAACTTAGGTTTCCGTCGGGTAAGGTTGGTGATTCCTTCAAGTCAAGGTTCTTCCTCCCGGACCCCTGGCCTCCACTGACTCACGGGGGCTTCCAATCCCGGGCAGACGCAAGGCTACCTGTGCTGCAGATGACAAAGCTGAGCCTCGGAGAAGGGGTGTGACCGACCCACGGCCACGCTGCCAAGGCAGTGGGGCCCAGACCGAACCCAGGGCGGCGACTGGTCCCTGAGGAGGTGGGGGGATGTCGTGGGGGCGGGTGGGGGGCGTCCATCTCCGCAGCTGCGGACAGAAACCATGGCCAACGCCTCCTTCAGGGCTGGGTGCGTCGGAGGAGGCGGGGACATGGGGCAGACAACAGTTGTGAATGGCTGCAGACTTAGGGTCTGTTACTGTGGCAACCGCCCGCACTCTGGGCTCACGCTGGCTCTGGGTACCAGGGGTTACACTGCCATTTTAATTTAATAGCATTGTTATTACCCATCATAAAAATAATATAAATTATGCATATGTGCAATCTCTTCAAACCATATTATGTTAAATATGTGCATTTTTGCATATCCATTATACCTTAGTAGAGCTATTAAAATATACGTTCATTACAGAAAAGCCTAGAAAACATAGAAAAGTAGAAAGAAAAAAATCGTTTACGTCAATCTCCTTACAGCAACCTTCCCTAACATGGTGGAACATTCTCTCCCAGCTTTTTTCTCTCTGCCCGGTTTGTTTGCTATTTAACGTGGCTGTGATCACTGGTCTATATGATTAAAAACATTTTCTATACAGTTTTACACCCTGCTCTGGCCGCCTTCAGGGGTCCTGAGAGGAAATAGGAAGAAGGAGAGCCCCTTCCCAGAACCCCAGCACTGCCGGGCTGTGCTCTGGCTCGCAGCGTCCGGGGCCCCTGCGCCGGGGCGGGGGCCGTGCCGGCCATTGCCCGCTCAGCGAGCGCTTCCTGAAGAGCTGCCTTCCCGGCCTTGTCTTTTTAAGTTTCACGAAACGTGCTTTTCTCTTGATAGATGAACACGTCCAGCCTGTCGTCTGCTCCCGACACACCTTTTAGCTCCTCTTTTCTTTGCCGGCAGAGCTGGCGTTTACCTGTGGCTCAGAAGGCCGGTGGAGGGCAGGCGCTGCCTCTGGCGGGCACTGGTTGGCAAAGAAAGATGCATTTACTGAGTAAAAGTGGGAAAAGCACTTGAGGCAGAGAGAACAGCTACGGGGATAGGAGGTGGCGGCACTTCTGAGAGAAGCACGGAGCCCAGAGTCAGAGGGACCGGCTGGGGTCGGGGGGTGGGGGGGTGGAGGCAGGAGGGGCTGGAGGGAGGGCGTCAGTTCCCTGGAGCTGAGTTAGAAACTCACGAACACTGTGGCACTCAGCACGAATGCCTGTGACCACGCGTCTGCTGATTCTGCTGGTGCAGGCCTGTTTGGGCCCCTGGGCCCCTGCCTGGGGCTGGCCTGGCCGAGGGGTGGGCTCTGTCACAGACAAGTAAGTCCTCTGGCCTCCTCCTGCCCCGGCCCCATGGGCTGCCCTGGGCAGGTCCTTCCCTGGTAGCGGCAGAGGCTCCGGCCGCGGCCTGTCTCCTGGAGTCCCGCAGGCCCAAGGAAATCCCAGGGCCCGCGGAGTCAGGCTGGGGGCGGGCCCCCGGGCTAGGGTGGGCGGCCACACTGGGTCCCACGTGCGGGTGCAGGAGAGGGCGCAGGATCTGGGCTCCTGACGCAGCCTGCCTCTGGGGACCGTGGGCCGTCGGCGGCCTTAGACGCTCGGAGACCTTCGCTTTACTCTGAGACGACATGGGCCACTGGCGGCTTTTGTGCGGGCTCCCTCCCACCTCCTCGCCACCGAGGCTCCCCGTGGCTGGGCAGGAAGGAAGCGAGGACGCAGTAGGGGCCCCGCGCAGTCACCTGCCCCAGGAGAGGCAGAGGGGGCGCTGGAATGGGCGCATTGCAAAGACCGAGCCAGGATGGTGAGAGGCAGAAGCAGGGAGGGAGGCGGAGGGGCCGCAGCAGGCAGTGCCCGAGAATGGGGGCTGCCCGAGGAGGGTGTGGGGAGGGATCAGGATTCGGTTTGGGGACCAAGGAGGGTTTTGAGCAGAGATATCCACTGCCACCCTGGCGGCTATAAGAAGGAAGTGGGGGGCTGGGCCCGCCGAGTGCCCCGCCTGGGTCCTCAGGGAGGCGAGCCAGATCCACGGTTTGTTTGAGAGTAGTTCCGGTGTTACAGTCAGACTAGAGATTCTTGTGCCTGCAGAGTCCCCACCAGGGACGTGGAGATCGCCGGGGCGGGGGGGGCCCGTCTGTGGGGAGCGCAGTGTGGGCAGAGAAGGGGAGGAGGAAGGGGCAGGGCTGGTCTCAGCACCCCCGGAGCTAGGCTGCTGTCAGGGCTGCACCCCAGTCTCCCACCTGGTTGGCAGGGGAGGAAACCCTTCAGCTGCTTCCGGGAGGAGGGAGAGTGAAGCTCCAGGGCAGTTGTCCCTGCTCAGGGCTCCCCACCCTGCGGGCTCCTGCTGCCTGGTGGTGGCCTGGCTTAGGGGCGCGGGGCCTCTGGGGGGTTGAGCTGCAGGGTCCCGGGGCGCTACTGAATGGTGCCTTCCGTCTCCCCTCCGCCAGCCGATATCATCTCTACTGTCGAGTTCAACCACACGGGAGAGCTGCTGGCCACAGGCGACAAGGGTGGCCGGGTCGTCATCTTCCAGCGGGAACCGGAGGTGCGGCGGGGCCTGGTGGGGCGGGGGGCTTCACCCTGCGGGGCGCCGCCCTGCATTCCCCGGGGGCGGGTCCCTGGGGAGCCTCGCCTGCCTTCCTGGCAGGATCCCCGGGCTGGGCGGCAAGGGTGCATTGGGGTGCGGCGCGGGCACCCGGCAGGTCTGGGGTGGGAAGCCCACGGGGCCCGCTCAGCAGGTGTTAGCTGATTCCAGCTGCTGCTCCGGGACAAGCCTCCGATTAAACCTCCCGGCGCTGTCCCGGCCCGGCCACGGCCACAGCAGGGAGGGCGCGAGGGCCTTTCTGCGACCGTCGGTCCGGCCCCCGGGCTGGGCTGCGGGTTTCCTCAGCCCTGGGTCCTTGCCCCAGCGACCGTCATGGTCCAGCAGAACTCGGGTAAGACAGGGGCAGCCTGGAACACCCCACCCGGGGCACCGTTTCTGAGCCACTGAAAGAACCCCCAGATTAAAAGGCTCCCCATTTGTTGAGCACCTACTACGTGCAGACACCTTGCTGCATTCTCTACGCACTTTTCTCATTTACTATCATTATCCATCTCAAAAGGGGGGGTGGGGCCCCCAAGTCACAGACGAGGACCTTTGGAGAAGTCACCCCAGCTGGGGAGCAAACACCAGGGATTGAAACCAAGACTGAGAAGGGGCGGCCGGGGCATCAAACACAACGCTGGGCCCGTAGGCGGGACGAGGAGGCGGAGACGGGGAGGGGAAGGGGAAAGGGGGTGGTCACATTCAGTCCTAAGCGTCATCTCCAGAGCGATGCCCCCGAGGTCTGACTTGACTGGTGTTTGCGCCCAGCTCCTGCCCTGCGACGGTCCCGGTGGCGCTGCGGTCATCCTCGCTTCCAGGCAGGGACTGGAGCTCGGGGCCCTGGGGCAGCTCAGCGAGGCCGGACAGCGGACAGCGGACAGCGGCAGCGTTGTCCTAACACGGCCCCGGGGTTGGAGCGTGTTGATTTCGTGAGCAGGGCCAGCGTGTCCCACGGGGGATCGCAACACCAAGCCTCCTGTCTGCCAAACCGCAGAAAGGACCTGAATGAGTGATGCCAGAGTCTTGGTTTTGAGTCTTTCTCTTTCAAGATATGTTTTTAAATTCTGGTCCTGCTGACCTCTGTCATAGCCGGTGCTCATGGGAGACATAGTGAATGAGAGGCAAAATTATTGAAGAGCTTTAACACTTTCTAGAAGCAAGACAGGCAAAGAAATAGGACAGTCGGTGCTTTCAAAAGGTTAAGAGAAAACTTGACACTGTGCCTGGTCGGAAGTCTTGGATCTGCTCCCAGGCGGTTGTCTTCCCGGTGGGAGTTCCGTATCGGCACGGAGACCTGAGTTGCCCACTGGGAACATGGCCCCTGGTGTCCGAGTGAGGACCCCCACCTCACTCTCTGGGGGTCCACCAGGAGGGCGCTGCGCACACCGGCAGAGGGCCCGCACACCAAGGGAAGTCACGGGACAGGCTCTGTCTCGGGTCTGACGTTCCAGGATGTTCCGCCCCAGGGCAAAGTCTGCTTCAAAATGCATTCACGCCTCACTCCGAGGTGAGGAAAAGGTCAGACCCCAGCGGAGTGAGTTACGCGTAGTGGACACGTGGCCTCGGCAGGTCCAGTCTCCCCTGAGCCTCCACTTGCTCCACCTGTAACATGGGGGGAGTCCTGGCACCCAACACAGAGGGGCCTCGAGGATAGAAGGAGATGAGGCATGAGACACACTAAGTTCGGTGTCTGGCACGTAGTAGGTGCTTAGCAAACATGAGCTAGCTTTGTTACTGTTGTCCTTGCTTATTGGGCCAAGGCGGAGCTAGGGCTTGGCCACAGCGCACAGCAAGGCGATTTAACAAGGAGGGCTTCCGGTGACCCCGGGGTGCATGCAGGGACCCTGTGGGACACCGGGGCGCCATGGCTGCCGGGCTCTCCGCGGGTTCATCCCCCCCGGCCCCGGGCCCGGGCCCACCCGCCCCGCCAGCCTGGAGCTCAGGCCCCATCTGGGTTTCCTTGCAGAGCAAGAATGCGCCTCACAGCCAGGGCGAATACGACGTCTACAGCACCTTCCAGAGCCACGAGCCAGAGTTCGACTATCTCAAGAGCCTGGAGATAGAGGAGAAAATCAACAAGATCAAGTGGCTCCCACAGCAGAATGCTGCGCACTCCCTGCTCTCCACCAACGGTGAGGCGGTGCAGCGCGGGGCGGCGCGGGGCACCTGGGCTCATGCGGACCCGGGTGCCCGGGCACGTGTGTGCCCGAGTGCGTATGCATGCAGCTGTGGGTGTGTGATGTAGCGATTTATCATCAAATGCTGTTTCTTGCCTCACTTACATGGTGAGTGTTTTTCTCGGTCCTAATGCACAGCATTAGAGCAGCACGTAAATTCCACGCAGTGAGTGTGTTCTAGCGTCTCCAGCTTTTCTCTGTTGGACCTGGGGCTGTTCCCATGGTTGTACATGGCAGTACCGTGAACATCGTTGGGGATCCTTTCCTCCAGGTGGAGGGTTGACCTTCACAGGGACACCCGAGGCAAACTTATCTCTTCCTCCGCACCCCACAACCCCAGGCTGCCCGGGAAAGGGGGGTCATCCCTAGGCGGTGTGACCGTGCACAGGTTCGGGAACCTGGCTGGCTCTTTGCCGCTCAGGCCCCTGAGGCGGCCCCTGGCTGGGCTCCTGCTTCGCCGCGGTCCACTCCGAGGGCGCGGCCCCAGGGCCATCCTGCCTCAGCCAGCACGGGGCCTGGGGCCAGAGGCTTTGCCTTCTGCTCACCCCCCATTTCCCCAGTCCCATCATCAGAGCTGCCTAGGGCTGCAGGCCGACAGGCCTGGGCTCTGTCCCAGCCCCGTGACCTTGGGGAGGTGCCCCTGAGCCTCAGCGTCCTCATCTGCGGTCTGGGTTGTGGTCAAAGGGAAGTGAGATGATGCCCTCCGGTCTTTCTGGAAATCAGCGCAGAGACTGATGAGTGCCCTTGCATGTGTCATGCCCTTTGACCCAGCAATGTCACCGTTAGGATCAACTGTGAGGAGCTGGGGAAGGAAGACAGGGGTCCTGTATGCAAAGATGGTGGCTGCATCCGTCTACGTGGGAGAAAATTAGAAAGAACCTAGGTGTCTGAGCAAGGTGACGGCCAGTAAGTTCTGGCCGCTGCGTCCACATCCAGCGGGCGAGGGTGGATACTCCATTCTCTGTGTTCATCCTGGGTCTTGTTTCCCTTTGCTCTGTTTTCAAAGACAAAACTATCAAGTTATGGAAGATTACCGAGCGAGATAAAAGGCCCGAGGGCTATAACCTGAAAGATGAAGAAGGGAAGCTGAAGGACCTGTCCACGGTGACATCCCTGCAGGTAAGATGTTGGCCTTGGACGCATCCGGCGAGCGGGAAGCACAGCTGTGGTTCTTTTATTAAACTATGACAGTTTTAGGGCACGAAGGTGAGATGCGAGCCCAGGGTGGGGCTCAGGTCCTGGCTGCGGTCACCTCCCTGCTCCGTGCCTCAGTGTCCCCAGCAGCCAAGTGGAGGTGGCCGTCTCCTCCTGGCAGGCTGGTGAGGATGGGGCGAGGGGCTGCAAGTTCAGCTTCTCCACCACACCTGAGGGTGGAGAGCAAGTCCAGTAGCACCTTGCTACCCAGAGAGGGTAGCCCCCGACCCACGGCCCTGCTCTGACCGCCCACCCCGGCCCTGCAGGTGCCTGTGCTGAAGCCCATGGACCTGATGGTGGAGGTGAGCCCGCGGAGGGTCTTCGCCAATGGCCACACCTACCACATCAACTCCATCTCCGTCAACAGCGACTGCGAGACGTACATGTCGGCGGACGACCTGCGCATCAACCTCTGGCACCTGGCCATCACCGACCGGAGCTTCAGTATCCTTCCCCGCTGCGGCCCCGCCCGCATCCCCCGCGGGCTTCTGGGTGGGGGTGCTGGCTCGCTGGTAAGCAGCGAGCTGGCCTGGGAGCTTCTGCTTCGCCCCACTTCTTTGGTGAGCCCACAGTGTGTGAACAAAGCCCAGCCGTGAGATCATGCGGAGTTCACAGGCGGACGCTCTAAAGCCGTGGCTGTGAAGGTTACCTTTGACCCCTCGCCACCTGCACGGTGGCTGGGAACCTCCTTATCCGGGACCTCACCAGGGGCGAAGGGGGAGGTAAAGGTCCTGGCGTCAGCCCGCCGACGGGAGGGGTGGCCGACCCGCCTGAGACCATCGACTGAGGCTCCTCTCTGCCCCGCCCTGGGGTCCCACCCAGGGCCGAGAGTGACAACTGGGGTGTCGGAAGCCCAGCCAGCGGAGTCAAAGGGGGCCCCGCGTGGTGGCCCCGTGTTCGGACAAGCCAAGGGCCGCAGGGGTGACTGCAGCCCCTGGTGCCGCACGATTGTGGGCCCGGGGACTTGGCCCAGCGGGGGCTGCAGGGCACAGAGAGGCAGGTCGCTAAGCTGCCACTATTCTAAAGACTCGTCATGATAATAATTATTATTATTACAGTGAGGCTCTTGTCTAACATTCACACCTGTAATTTCATCCTCACAACAAGCCTGTGTCGTAGGCACGGCCATGACCCTCCTGACACAGGAGGACACTGAGTCACGGGGAGCCCAAGCTAACTTGCTCAGGGCTCACTCCTGGCCAGTGTCACACCTCCAGCCCCCAAGCCTGCATTTCCAGCTGTGACACCAGGCTGCGCCTCGGACAGGCGCCACCCGGGTGTATGTGACGGGGGCCCTGTTCCCGAGGCTGGAAGCAGAAAGAGACCCCTGCCCCCCTGGGGCGCACAAGCCAGAAACCGTTAATACAACAGCACGGACAACGTCCAGCCCGCGGGCCGGGGGTCAGGGCCGCGGGAGCGGGCGGGCCCAGCGGGCGTGCTGCCGAGCCTGTTCCCTGGCCCCAACCAGCAGGGGCTGCAGGCCTGGGGTGGGGGGCGCGGGGGGCCCGGGGGTGGCTTTGGCAAGTGAACCAGCAGACGGGGGGCTGACAAGGGAGTGGACATAATGGTTGGGCCTGGGACCTAGGCCCCAGGTGAGGAGGCGAGGCCCGGTGGCAGGAAGGGAGCTGCCGGGGACCGGGGTCGCCGTGGGAAGCAGGGGGCTCTCCTGGCTGCAGACCCTCCCTGTGTATAGCCTCCAGTGTGGTGGAGATGAATTGGTAGTCGATCGAGTATGAAGGCGTCGTGGCCCTTAGAGGTGGCGGAGTGTGCGTGTTGCTCTGCCGAAGGTGGCAGGAGCGGGGGAGGGGCCCCAGCAGCCCTTGCCTGTGGAGCCCAGGCGCCCACTGGGCAGACGGAAGGAGGGGCGGCGTCTCCGGGGCCTGGCTGGCTTGCAGACCTCCCCCGATTAGACCCGTTCGTTGGGGAATGACGCTGCATGTGGGCGCCCTCTTGGCCTGAGGCTGCTCGGCCGCCAGAGTGACAGGACACGGAGGCCTGGCGCCCTTCCCGTGGAGTCCAGCCTCCGCTGGCAGGGCAGCTGGCAGGGCTGTGGGTGGCCGGTGCGTCGATGGGTCCGATAGCGGCTGAGTGTCGAGAAAAGGTGTCTCGTTACCAGTGCATGGGGTGGGGGAGGCCCGGAGGCTGCGGCCGGCGCTGAGCTGCTGCTGGGCGCTGAGCTGCGGCATTGCACTGAATTTGAGACGCCCGTTGAGCAAGTGCCTCCCAGGGGACTTGGGACCCAGGGTTCCATCCCTTTGATGCTGGCTCTCTGGTCTTGCCTTGTCCTGATGCTGCTGTTCAGTCGAGGCCACTGGGAATTTTTGGCTGCGTTACCTACCGTCTCCTCGTGTCTAAATAGTAACACTTTCCTCTTAAGCAGAACTGCTTTCTAGCAAAGGTTTTAAAGAGAAAGGGAAGCTTTTCTAGTAAGGGAGAAATGCGGGCCCCGTCTTGGCCATTCAACAGGAGGAAAGCTGACGCGGAGGAACTTTCCGCAGCTAATTCCAGAACCGGCGGCTCCACGGAGGGAGGCGCTGGGGCTTCCTGGGCCTCTCCTGGGCGGGATGCGCTCAGAGCCTCACTCAGTCTGCCACCAAGGCTTAACATGAGGGTTCAGCCTCCCTCTCCCTCACCCTCAGGGTGGAAAGAGGTGCCAGGCCCTCCCGCTCTCCCCCGCTGGCTCTGGCGCCATGTCCTCCTCTCCGTCCCCGCTAGAGACTCGGCTCGGCCACACCAGACCTGCCTGGCCCGTTCCCAGAATCCCACCTTGCCCAGCCAGTCCGTCCGCCCCCCCACGGAGCCGTGAGACTGGCTCATCGGACCCTCTGGGCTGACCACATCAGTCCCCATCGGCTCCAGGACAACGGCCAACACCCTCAACACCGTCCTGCGGCTCTTGGTGACCGGCCCCGCCCACCTCCCCGGGTCCTTGCATCGGGCTCGCCCGCAGCTCAGGCCTCGGCTTCCCTTCTTTGTCCCAGGGTGGGGCCCGGGCCCGGGCTCTGCCTCCTGCTGCTCCCTCTCCCTCTCGTAGCCGGGCTGGCCCCTGTGTGCCCCCTTCGCTCGGTCACCTGCGCTGTGTCCACTCTGTCAGAGGCCCTCACACTGGGCTTTCTTCTTCTGTTACTGTGACCGCTGCGCCCATGTTATGGCGAAACGCTTGAGATCGGGAACCCCAGCTGCGTCCTCCTGTGTCCCACACGTAACGCAGGGCCCGGCACGTAGTGGGTACTTTCGAGTGGCGCTAGATGGTGACGCTGGAGCAAGGAGGTCTTAGGGCGCAGACACCTGCCTGCAAGCCTGGGCTGCCGGGCGCTCCGGTCCCAGACGCTGCAGGGAGGCAGCCCGGGTGCTGGGCTCCGGGAAACCCCGGCTCAGGTCGTGGCTTAACTTCCGGACCACCAGCGCGCGTGAATGCAACCTGGACCGAATGCCTTCATGGAGGGACACGTGTAAGGAATCAAGAGATCAGTCACCTATAGGGCCTGGTGCTCATTGGGCCCCAGCAGGCAGCTGGCGTTGTTTCCCCTTTTAAACAACAGCCCCTCATTCTGTTCTCAAAATTCCCGCCTCTTCTCTTATTTTTTTTACCCCAATGCCATCTTCACATTTCTTTAAAAAAAACACCAAAACCCTCATGTCCTTGAATACCGACATTTTGAGACCATTAGGCAGTGTGGGGCGGTATTTCTTGAGTTGGATGCATCTTGAAGGGAGCACACTGCATAGGCGGCCTCGGCGGACGGGCCTCCACTTTATTTTCAGCACCGGAGAATCGTAAAGATGGTCCCACTGATTTTTCTTGCTCCTGAGCGGGTTCTCCTGGGGAAGCTGGCGTTCCATCAGCCCTTGGTCTGGGACAAATGTCCAGTCCCCGTTTCCGGAGCGGGCCCCGAAGCTGGGCCGGCTGTGAGGCCGCAGTTAGGGGCAGAGGCTCCGAACCTCGTCAGCACAGGGCAGCTTGAGGGCTCGGCTTGTCCCCCAAGCAGGGGACAAGGGAGGGGACTGCCCAAGGCCCCTCCACCTGCCAGCCTCTCTGCCGCCCGAAAAACCAGAAGCAGATCGGTCTCTCTGCTTCTGTCACTCACCCACAAGTGCCCCTGCCAGTCACTCGGCCTTTCTTAGCCTCTTGTTCTGGCCTGTTCCGTGGGGCGTGCCCCGGTGCGGGGGCTGGGGGTGGGATGCTGCGAGCCTGCGACCCACAGCAGCCGGTGACCGCGGTCGGCCCCTCGCAGGCCGGGGTGGGGTCCTCGGGGCCAGGAGGAGCGTCCTGCGGGGAGTGGGTTCCGACTGCTCCACCACCCGGCTTCCCCTCCAGGCTCACAGGAACCAGGCCTGCCACCCGGCACAGGCCCTCACACGGGCGCGCCCTGCCGCCTCTGCAACCTGTGACGTCCCTGTTTCCCTAGAGGACGAGAAGGGCGCTGGCTGTGATTTAACTAACTTAGCTGTTGCTACAGGGACTCACCGTGTGCTCGGGCCTTTGGCGTGGGCCGCCGCGTTAAGTCCTTACAGACAGCCCTGCCAAACAGGCGTTCCCAGACCATTCTGCAGGCGAGAAGAGCAAGGCACAGAGAGGCCAAGGAGGTGTCCCCGCGTCCCATGGCTGTTCCATGATGGGGTCGACGGTCAAGCCCAGCCTCCGTGGCTCAGAACTCAGTGCCTGCTTTCCTGTCTGAGCACTTGGGGATCACGTAACCTGGCCCGTGGTGGGGACATGTGGACCGGCTCACCGCCCGGAGAACGCGCGCACGGGCTTCCGTGGGCTGTGCAGCGAGCAGTTGGGCAGGAAGGCCCCTCCCCCATGGCCCCGCCTGCCCCCGCAGTCTGGGCTCTTCTTCCTGAGCACGTGGCACATGGCCATGGTCAAGGCTCTCAGCAGAGAAGGGAAGGAGGCTGTCGTGGGCTGAATTGTGACCCCTAAAAGCTATAGGCTGAAGTCCTCACCCCAGGACCTCAGAATGTGACCGTACGGAGAGCCGCTCTTTAAGGCGGTGCTTACGGTAAAATGAGGTCATCACGTAGGCTCTGATCCAATCTGACTGGTGTCCTTCTAAGAAGAGGAGGTTTGAACACAGAGTGACGCCAGGGACGCACCCACAGGGGAAAGACCGTGTGAGGACACAGCAAGGAGGTGGCCACATGCAGGCCAAGGAGAGAGGCCCCAGAGAGCCCAGCTCTGTGGACACCTTGACCTTGGACTCCCAGTGTCCAGAACCGAGAGGGAATGATCTCCTCTTGCCAATGCCCCAACCCGCGGCGCTCGGCTGCGATGGCCTGTAAAGGCTCACGCAGAGGCGCGGGTGCCAGGAAGCCTCCAGATCGAGTCGATGTGGTTTGGCCTGTGCTCTCCAGGCTGATGTTGCAGCCAGGTCATCTTTCGGAGGAAATTTGCTGGAAAGAAAGCCGCCTTGTTGGCTGCGCCCCAGTGAGACTGCCCCCAT